ACTGATCAAATCCTGTCAGTGGCCCTTTTCACCCAAAGTTGCTAATATTTTTTGGTTCTTGTTCAAGAGTAGGAATTACCAAGTTAGTGGAGGGCAGCAGAGCACCATTTGACAGATTGAAATCAGTAAAATCGGGATGGCAGAGTTTAGTTAATGCATACAGTTAAGGGTAGACAATAGTTGAAACTTCATTGTAACCAGTTTGCTTACTTCCAACCATTTGCTTCTTTAGGAATCGGAATGGTGTCCCTATAGGTATAGAATAAATGCTGAGAATAAACTTGATGTGTCAATTTATTTGAATTTCAATGATATTTTTTAATAGGATGTGCGTAGGAAAACCCTTAACAGATCATGAATGATTCAGGTCTTACAGAAGGCTTGAGAATTTTTCTTAACCAGATTAATATAATTTGTTGAACAAAGACATTTTTGTTATGATGAGGTTCATGATCAGAATTCACTTAGTTATTCTGTGATGAAAATTGCAAATGTGTTACAGAAATTGGATAAAGTTCAGGAGAGGCAGGTAAAATAACATTTATACACAGCAAAAGTAGCAACTTGTGCCCACTTATGGAATGCAGATATATTTCATAGTTCTTTTTTTCAAAGGATTTGATTGATTGTCTATCATTTTAAGTTGATATAATTCATATGGGCAATAGGTTTTTAAACCTCTGAAAAAAAATTTAAACTGATGGATGAGCTCACACAATTATATATATATATTTGGCATAAAAATAATCTTTCACAGAGCTCTGGTGGCCTAGTGGCAAGAAGCTGCACTGTAATCCCAGAGATACATGGTTTGAATCCACCAGATGTTCTGCTGGAGAAGGAGGGTCAATTTCCTCCTGTACCAGTCAGATCCGATTTGACGGTACACACACACAAAATAATAAAAACTTTAAAAAAACCACAACCCTTCTGTTTAGAATGATGACAAAAGATATGTTACTTGTTTTACAACTTTACTGCTATTGTGGTTAACATGAGAAAATGTTTCCACAATCATTAGAAACAGATAGCTTGAGATCAAACCTATGCCAATAATTTTCTACTTGTGTGAGCATGGATAAATTGAGTTCACAAAGGAGCAGTTCTCTGCACATAAGTACAATAGGAATCACACCTTATTGTTATTCATTTATAATTGGCTCCTGTCTTGACATATGATGGGCTTCAAGTAATAAATGCAATCCTGAATGAGCTCACCAGTCCGTGCCAGGAAATTTGTAGGACAGTTGCCTGGCTAAATGACTGGAAGAGATAAATATTTGTTCACAGAATGTAAAAATTATTGAACAGTATCATTACTATCACATGTAAGCAAAATGTTGCTGAAGATCATTTAAAAACTGCTAGCACAATACATTGATAGAGAATTGCCAGAAGTTCAAGTTGGTTTTAGAAGAAGCTGTGGTATTAGAGTATCCTTGCTGATGTCAGATAGATCCTGACTAAAAGCAGAGACTACCAGAATGTTTATTTGTGTTTTATTGACTGTGCAAAGGCATTTGACTGTGGACCATAACAAACATTGAGAAGAATGGGTGTCCCAGAACACTTAATTTTACTTGTAGGAAATCTATATCTAGGCCAAGAAGCTGTTGTCCCAACAGAGCAAGGGAACACTGTATGGTTTAAAATTAGGAAGGGTGCATGTCAGGGTTGTATCCTTTCTTTCTACTTATTCAATCTGAACTACAGCCTTCAATAAGGATTACATCTCAGCACTAAGAAAACAAAGGCCCAACCGCTGGACCAATAAGCCAATAGATGGAGAAAGGATTGAAATAGTCAATGATTTAACCTTACTTTGATCCACAATTAACACCCAATCAGCAATCAGGAGATCAGTGATGTATTACAGGGACTTCTCTAAAATTCTAAGGAGTAATGATGTCAGTTTGAAGACTACAGTATGCCTGACTCAGGTCATGGTCATTTTAGTCGCTTCCTGTGCATCTGAAAGCTGAACAATGATGACGAAGAACAATTGGTGCCTTTAAGTTGTGGTGTTAGAGAAGGGTGTTTAATATCCCTTTGATTGCCAAAAAAACAAATAGATAATTCTTGGAAAAAGTGTAGCCAGAGTGAGTGCTTGCTCCCTGGAGGTGGAGCTTCATTTCTCATACTTTGAGCATATTGCTAGCAGAGGCTGTTCTTTGAAAAGGGATATTGTGCTTGAAAAGGTGGAGGGTCAATGAAAGAGTGGAAGACCCTCAATGAGATGGACTGACAGAGTAATGGCAGCAATGGGCTCAAGTGTATCAGAGATGCTGGTGGCACAGGATAGGAAAGGTCTGTTGTTAATAGGGTTGCTGTGAGTCATGCTCAATTTGATGACATCTAACAATAACAATGACTGTCGTGGAGAAATTGAAATCAAGGTGCTCCTTGGGGGTAAAGATGGTGAACTTGGTATTATACTTTTGGCATTTTAAGGGGCTTGAGGAAGGGTGTGTCATGCTTGGAAAAGTAGAGGGTCAGTGTAAGAGAGGAAGAAAAGACCTACAACAAGAAAAATTGATACAATGACTAATGGATTGATACAATGGGCTTAGGTGTATCAGATGATGCAGATGGCACAGGTTCAGGTCTGTTGTTCATAGAATTACTGTGACTCAGTAGAGTCAAGGCACAAAAAAATCAACCAAATTTAGTTGCATATGACATTGTGGATGTTGAATGACAGCAAGCTTTCAGAACCACATTTTAGTCCCCAAGGTTCAGTGAATGTGAGCTGATTTAAAGGAGGCCTAATCTCCCCATAGAGGCACGGTGTCTATAATGGACCCATGAGAAATACTTTAGTGTCTTGGATACATTCTTAGAGACAACTTTGGTTTTTTAAGTAAATCTACAATCTTGTACAGTTGGTTGCATTTGTACTCACATTCAGGATGGCAAATGAAAGGCAAGAGGGATCTAACGTAACATCATCACATCACATCACACAACACAACAAACATAACATAAAACATAACATGACATGACACAACATAACATAACGTGAGTGGATTTACTATGGTTTTTGTCTTTCCCTAACTCCATGTTCTCATTACCTTTTTCTTAATCTCCTCCCTTTTTTTCTGCATTACAGAATTTAACCGCCAAACAAAACAAAAAAACCCCAGATATCATGTGAACCAGAGATTATCTGCCCTGACTGATAATAAGAATCACTGGAATATATTTCATTTTTTTAATATCAGTAACTGGTTCTTCCTCAGACTAGTTGAATCATAGTCTCTGGGATTGGGCCACTTCACTTACATTGAAATCTGTCTCATAGACCTTTCCAACAAGAAGTATTGTCAGGAGCTGTCTAACCTGCAAAGCAGGATCAGCAACGCCTTGTAAAAACAGCAGGACCACCTATCTTGGCTTGACCATCTGTTCTGCAGAAAACTCCAGGAAGCAATATGCTAATGAATAGGGAGTGACCGAAGGTTTCTGAATCTTAGGAATGTGATACCGTTTTGTCTTTTGTTAATATATTGTAAGATATCCCGGAAGAGGTCTTTGTTTTGTGTGAATGTCTGGGAATGTTCAATCTACCAGTCAACATCTCCGACAAATAAGAGAGAATGCGATTACCCCTGCAGGCATGTTCCTAAGACGTATATATACCCTTGCCGTAATATTAAACTTGCTATTTGTCATCAGCAATTAGCCTTGCATCTTCATTTCAACCTGATGCCTTCTTTTGGCGGAATTTCCACGACATATCGGGGCTGGTTCCTCGATAAAGTATCAGTGTTTTAATGCCATCTTTTAATCAACTTTAAGATCACACATTAAAAGGCAGCTACATCCTTACTCCAAAGTTTTGAGCCACATTAAAAACCAACAGCCAATTCTGTGTTTCAAAGCGACGGTGCATGCCTCAGCCAGAATTCAAGTTCTTTTTTTTTTTTTTTTTAATTCAAGTTCTTATCTTTCTTCTGCGGATTTAGAAAAGAAAAAGAAAAAAAAAACCCTGAGGGTTTATCAGCTACAGTAGCTGAATCAATTAACACATCTTTGTTAAATTGTGTCTGTCTCTCTGTCACTCAATCTTCTTGGTTGAAGAACAGAATCTAGTTTTGAGCAAGAAGTACAAATATGGAAGGTACCTTGAGTTAATAAGTAGGTGTTCTATGATAGAGAAGTATGGAGCTCACCGAATAGTCACTGGTTTCTCGGGTCAGAAAGGATGCTGTCAGTAGTAATTTAAGGCACCATGAATAGTAAATAAACATGGAGCTCTTGTGCATAAGATGGGCTGTCAATCCAAAGGCCTGCTGCTCTTTAGGAGAAAGATGGACAAATTCCTATGCCATTAAAAGCCCCTGAAAATCAACTGGAGTGTCAGGACTAAGTTCTCATTGTAGTGTAAAAACATCCTCAACAAAAGCAAAAACAATTTACATTTCCAATTTGTTTGGCCTTCCATCATAAAATTAGGATTTCCATAAAAACCTGTCTGTCCCAGAAAGTATATGGAAAACTGAGCAAAGCATACTTGTTAGCTGACTCCAATTGTGGACTCACAATGAAGCGTACTTCAAACATTACATGTAATCCTTTGGATGACCTTTAAAATGGTCAAAAAATGAAAAGGGACATTACAATTCCCGTTAAGTGTGAAGAAATATCTCACCAAAGCTATCTCTTCACATCCTTTTTCTCTTGTAGAGAACTTGGACTTGAACCACCCACCTTCAGACTGGTAGTAAAAGTCCTTATTAAGGCAGAAACCTTCTTATGCCAATGTGCAGCCGCTTTCAGTGCTCTCAGCCCATGGGTAATGGAGCTAGGCAATGGTTCGTGGCTGGCAGTTTACTCTGGGCCTGCCATAAATCCACTACCATGCTTAATAGTGTTAACACGCATATGCCAAAGAGTGCTGGTTAGAACAGTATGTTTCCATCAGCATCACAGATCTTCAAGAACATATGAGGGCCCTGAAAAGGGCCTTTTTATTTGCTGCAGATGCAAAAGTCTGGCAGTCAGCCGCCAAAGCCATAGAGGGTGCGTCCCTGGCGCTTGAGCGCGTAGACCACGTCCATGGCGGTGACGGTCTTGCGCTTGGCGTGCTCGGTGTAGGTGACAGCGTCCCGGATCACGTTCTCCAGGAACACCTTCAGCACCCCGCGGGTCTCCTCGTAGATGAGGCCGGAGAT